ATTTAACACAAATGATTAAACTTTTAATCGATTTTATTAAATTTTGAATTGTCCGAATTATTTTTCATAATTTGCTATAACATATACGTCAGAGTTTATGGATAAATTTTATAAAGTTTTGGTTAAGATCATTTTGTATTGTTCTCCTCTATTGCCCCACCACGCATGTGTGACGATTGATGAAGTTCGAGATCACCATGCTCAAGTGTCTATGCTAACAAAAATTCAATTCATAGGAGAGGCCTTATGCACATTTATAACTTGGCCTAAAGCATTGATAATGTCATATTTTGGCACACCACATGTATTATATTGATATTCTTAGTATTTTTATGTGAGAGTTAGAAATAAATTATTCATAACTTTTAAAGTCTTTATTTCAGTTCTCCCATCTTGGGAAGTAGGCCATACGTCCACCTGTGGTCCGTGAAGATGATGACATGGTAAAAGAAAAGGATAATCCTCTAGCATAAGCATAGTATGATCCTCTAGCAAAGCTAATGACAAAATTATACAAGTTGTATATTACTTTAAAGGATGCACTGAAGGTAATTGGGGGAGACAAGATGTTAAATATTTCAATCCTACAACTATGATGCGTGTAAGATTCTTCACTGTCTTCCACAATTAAATAATCAAATTATTATTTTTTAATATATATATATATATATATATATATATACACACACACACACTTAACTTTATTGTTATAGGTACACAGACACAATCATTGTGACCAAGATCTAGTATCCATGTATGAATTTATTGAACCTCAAACCATTCAACCTTTTGAAAACACAGATTCAAGCAAACATATTTTCAAATATGGACGACTGAGTCAAAAAGAGAGATGTATCTTATGTCATACATTGATGAGTATGTGTTATTGATTGTAAAATTTTATGAAGGTTTACTTAATTAATAAACTCACTATTTGTGATTCATGACAGACCCATTGACAACTGATGGTCATCATACCAAGATAATGCACAATTGTATGATTTTATTCCCTGCATAGAAAGATGAAACTTGACTTGAAATCCTTGTTACAAACGTAAGTGTTACATTTTTTTCATATAAATTAATTAGTTATATTGATATTAACTTATCTTTCAAATGTAATTAGATTTGTGGACAGGCTCAGATCACAACAAATTCAAATACTTGATTATTTGTTTTCATGTTCAGTGTAACAAACAACTAGATTCATGGGCATGTGGCTATTATGTCATGTCTTGGATCAAAACAATCATTTGAGCAAAAATTAAAGATGATTGGACTAGGCTAATAATATACATATTTCACATATTACAAATCACATTCAACTTTAAACATTAGAATGCAAACATAATGAAGTTGTGTTATTTTTGCAACGCTTCAAGAATCCATCACCAACAACAAAGGACATAATGAAGAAGATACAACAGAAGTGGACAACATATCTTCTAAAGCGATAAAGTTAGGACATACCCACCATTGCAACAATTGTTTTTTTCTTGAAGACATACATTATGTAAAGACAAGATTGTCTAGAGACTAGAATGTCTAGCAACTCCGGTTTTGGAGTTTAACAAAAGATATTAAACAAAAAATTGCTCTGAATGAAAGTTTATTTTAAGGAAATAATGTCTAAGAGAAAAATATTTTGGAACATCTTTTGTATACTAAAACAAGCTTACAAACCCTTTCTAGACTATATTGTTTGACAGAAAAAGTTTTATAAACGTCTAATGAAAGGAAACGCCTATCAATTTGAATCATATGATGAGTTACAGAATAACACTTTCAAACTTATATCGTCTAAATGGAAAATGTTTTACAAACAATGTCTTACGAACATAAGCGTCTCTCAAAAAGCTTAAAATATGTTTTACTTAAACCTAAAGTGGTAAAAGTTGTGTAATCTTCGTGAAGATTAGTGGAACTACTTAAGAGTTATTATGGGAGAACTAGATGTAGCTCGTAATTAAGTGAACCAGTGTAAAATATGTGCTTTATTGATTTGCTCTTTGAAATGTTTTCCATACTCACCCTTTATAAAACCATCTAAATCATCTTACCTGAATTATATATCTCTTACAAATCCTTTAGACGCTGCTCTATGAAAGAATTTTAAAAATATTATTCACACTCCCCCCTCCTCTAGTGTTTTTATATGATTTCACTTAAGTTTAGTTTTGATACTTTTAGTTTTGATAGCTTTAGTTTTTAGTTTAATTTTGATAGATTTAGTTTTTAGTTTTAGTTTTGATTAGTTCATAATTTAAACTTGAAATTATGTTATGGAAATATTCAATATTTAAACTGTGTTGATTTCCAGCTTTTCAAGTTTGGTAAAATTGTAAAAGTGAATAAATTATTTTAAAAAAAGCTACAATTGACGTCCATTAATGCATTAATAGATGTCAACTGACGTTGGCTATGGTAAGGACCAACATAAACTTGCCTCTTTTTTATTCCTAGAAATTCGTGCTCAGCGATTTAGGTCCTACACTCAGCACACTAGGACATCAGATCCTCTTGTGGCTATCGTCATGGGACGTCAATTGGCCTGAGGGCTGATATCATTCGACGTCGCTCTTTTATTCAAACATCAAATTGATGTCTCTAACTAAGACATCAGAGTTTAGACTAACGTCAAATGACGAAAATAACTAACGTCAAAACTTGTTTTTGTAGTAGTGTTAGTTGAGTCTTTATTAATTTTTTAGATATATTAAGAATTCAAAGTTTTATATTTTTCAATTAAATCTTCATCTTTTAATTTCTATATTAATTGGACGATATGATTGATATTTTTACATTATAATGTGAAACTTTTTGGTTAATATAAAATAATATTATGTTTATAGAAATTTATTAAATAACAAAATTGTTATGTTGGTTAATAAATTCTATGTCATCATCTATTTCACTTAAAAGATTGCCATGGTCACCATCATTAATGTAGGTGACAATGATGATTCTTATCATAAAACACATATTTTCAATTAAAAGTAATAAAATTCATTTGTCATTTTTACATTAATATCATTTTATTTTAGCAATTGTTGACAGCATTTGAGGAATAGGGAGAAATTATTCAAGATATCAAGAGTTGTTATGAGATCAAAGGTTAATAAGATAAATTACACAATCGATTGAAGGACAAAACTTATATCATTTGATCAATAGAAAATTAAGCTTTATATGAAAATCCAAAACAAAGGATTATAGCGTACAAAATCATTATAAGAATAGTGTTAGTAAAGGACAAAATCACCTTTTGGCATTATCAAGAATTTGATTTATGCTTTCTGAACCTCACTAGTCATAAACCAAGGAGGATTATGTTCTATAGAGATGCGATGAGTGAAGGACAAAGTTACCAAGTACTTCTTTATGAGATGCGTGTCATAAGAACGAACATTTAAAAGTAAGTTATGTAGTAAGTTATGTAATTATAATTAGAATATCAATAGAAGGAAAATGCAAATGAAGAGAAAATATTGATCAAAATCAAGAGGCAAATCAAGAGAAGAACAAAACAACAACTGTTCAGGAGACTTAGTAGATATAAATTACTCGAGCCATGTAGTTAAAACTACTAAGGACAATTTCAGTACAGTTATTTGTAATTTATTCAAATTTGAATTCAAATCTTTTAACTGTGTCCCGAGAGAGTTAAAAAATATTAATAGGTCCATTTCTGTGTATTTTACAAGAATGACAAATTATGAAATAATTAATACATTTTGAAACATGGTGAACTAGAAAAAATGACTAATTCACTATTAATTGTTGCAAAATAGATCACTTTACAACATCCTTTATTTTCCTATTTAATTTACTTTTTACAATCTAGTTTATTGTTTTTGCTATTTTTTTGCCATTCCTTCTGTTCATACATCTCCCATTTGAGTTCCATAATTCATGTTGTTCATTCCATCCATTATTATTACATTTTATCTTTATATTTATATAAAAAAAAATCAAAAAATAAACACAATAGAAACTTGATATATATGATATTCTCGTTAAAATCCAAGTAAGAAAACGATTAAAGTCATTAAACGTGTGAGTGACATTGATTCACGAAATCAAGAACCTTTTACATCAAGTTAATCCTCTCAATCAACATTGACGTGTGAAAATATCAAAGTTCTATTGAAAAGCTGAATGATTGCTAACCTTATGTTAAAAGAACTCAATCGAGACCATTTAATAGTGAACAACGTATTAATCATCACTAAACTCTCAAGAAACAGCAATTCAAAACATAAAAGTTGGTAAAAGCAAGTACATAAGATGATGAAAAAAAAATCTTTAATACCACAAAAAATATTAAATAAAAAATAAATAAAAAAACATATAAAATTTCATTTAATTTTTCAATATAACTGCAATCAAAATACAGAAATTGAGATTTTAATTATGCCTTATAAAAATTAAAGTTTTAAAATCATTAATAAATTGATGGTCGTTGAAAGTCAATGGTGGGAGTTGTGTAAATTGCTCGACGTATGTTTTGGGCACTAATCTCAAATCGCAAAAAACGAGTCAAGTCTTCTGTGGTTTAATTTAATTTAAAAGCGTTATTCGAATTTTCTTTATTTTTAATCAAACTCATGACTTGGTCCCCGATTGGTGTGTTTCACGGTGGGGACAAACGCATTCTCTCTTTTCGTTCTATTTTGAAAAGTTCTTCCCCATTACTCACTCTGTTCCCATTCACCACTCACACCACTCCTTTCTTTCTCTGTTCCTTTCTGATGCGACTTACATGTTATCACATTGGGATGATAAAGAAAAATGTTTTTTTAACCATTTCTTTTATAATAATTTATTTGATAGTTTGTGATCGGTTATAAATATACGAATTAATAAAATTGTGATATGTAATTTATTATAAAAAAATTATTAATATAACATATCATACTCCAAATGAAAAAGAGCACCAATCAGACATAAACCAAAGAAAAATAAATGTTTACAACTTGCACAAGACTTTAACACTGTCATCACATCAAAGTTCTACAACACACTTTATTAAGCAAGGGGTCTCAACTAGCTACCCAAACAGATGGTGCTTCTGAGGCCTCAAGATCAGCTAGTACATACACATAAACATTATCTTAACAACATCTCATCTCATGTCACATCTCACTACATATCTCACAAAGGAACAACCTCTGTTATGAAACTAAAAACATTAGACTCTCAAACCAACATTAAACATAGTCAAACAATGAAAATGTGTCAACGATAGTACACTACACTTAACTTAATCTGATCGCTCTTACTCAACACAGCAACGATACATGAAGTATTTCTCCATTTGGCGTCCACATTCAGCGCACACAACCTTCTGGGGTATGCCACCAGTGCTCCCAGGAAGGATCAAACGGTTGCAGTGATGTGGGGGTTTGTTTTGGTTGAGGTAATCGTTCATGGCTTTCACCACACCATCTTCCTCGATTCTAGGCCCCCACTTTTCGAAGTCCTGCAAGCATTTCAAAAAACTGTCACCTTTGGCTCTGGCCATATCAGTGGCGCCCATGCAGAAAATCGCCCACCCTCGATCACTGCCGTCGAAGCTCAGCACAGTCATCACTTCGCTCATGATCTCGTCGTTTTCCACCGTCCTTCCGTGCTGCAACTTGGAGTACAGCATGCTCTCCAAACGGGTCCAGAAGAACCAAATGGAGGTCACGTTGGGCCAAAAGTAACTGAACTTTCTCGTAGTGAACGTTTTTATCATCTTCTGCATCCGCTCCTTCGCGTTGCTCTTTCCCACGTAAGCCATCTCCAGCAGGAACTTCCCAGCATTTGCCACACTCAATGCTGTTGCTGTGAATTTCTCAATCCACTCCAGGTCTTCACCTCCATACAGACATACCAGTTTTCCTTCTGCCATCTGTAAACACAAATTTCATCTGTCAGTATAAAAAGTTTACAACTCATCAATTTGGAGTTAAAGTCAGAGACTAAAGTTACCCTCCATTATAAATACAGAGACTAAATTAATAGTTTGTCTAATTTGGATAAATTTCTTCTTTTAACCGTGCTAATCAGAGTTCTTATCTTGTAAAATTTCATGCGTGTCTACAAGTTTCAGTTTCGCACTTAGTCAGAAATGTTCTGTTTTAGTTTAGATATATGACTGCAAATAATGCAATTCACATTTTAAGAAAACAATTTATTATGTTAATTTTCATGGATCTTGTTAAAATATCCTTATAGTTATACTGTATAGTTGTAGTTATATATCCACTAGTGTATTTGCGTTTTGACAATATTACTGCAAAAAGTAGTTGATACTTGTATGGTTTAGCGATAAATAGTTTGGGAAGAAAAAGTATAACAACAGTGGGAAATAAAATAAATGGGCAGAGGATCTTGTTACCCATTCTAAAACTGTAGGATCAATGCCATCAACAAGCAGTTCAAGGCTCCAAATCTCTTGCTTCCACAGTGATTCTTCTTTCTCACTAGTGAAGGGGAAGGCCAAATTGCCCCAAATCCATATCATATGGACTGCATTAGGGGAGGACAATCTGCCTTGTGGATCAAGGGCCACTAGAATAGCTGTCTTTGAGAAATTCCACACTTCTTTGATGTACTTAACTGCTGATGGTTCAATGATGAAAGGATCACAGACACTGTACCATGGCATCAATGACTGCAAATACTCAAACTTCTGTTTGTTCACCTCATTCCAGATCCCTTTGTCCACAACTGGGATCCAAACCATCTCATAGTGTGTGTCACCCCTCGCTCGTGCATCTTTGTACAAATTATCAAGTACCAGGATCTCTTCTTGTGAAAGATCAAGGTCTGATATGAGCAGCAACACATGTTTCCTCCTTAGTACTTCCAGACTAACCTGTTTGTCAACAAATCAATCTTCTTAACCATGGTTCCAAATGAGATTTATTTAGCATAAGGGCTACATGTTACTAAAAATATCAAAGTACCCTTGATTTTGTAGTTCCATCCAAGAGTGGAAGGATATCATCCTTTGCATATATCAATGCTCTGACAATTTTCATGTTGTCTATATGGACTGTCTCGAAAAGACGAATCAGATTATGGAATGCCTCTATATGCCTCTTGTCATCTGCACCAGGTTAAGGATATTCATTTGTCAAATGTGCCTCATTCCAGATATATTTTATCCTTTTATATACTTAATGAAACTCTCAAACATCACATCAATTCAAAACCCTTTAAATTAGTCCAAGGCTATATGAAATTATTTAACTTGTTGAGTATAACTGTACCCACCTATATATTGGTAGCAAAGAACCAGTTGGCTCTTGAGGTGCTCATGAATACTAGTAACTTTGTGAGCAAGACTAGATAACTCCCATGCCTCAGTGGTTGATGAAATTGACCTGCAATCAACAAAATTGGGGTCACTGATATTTCCAAAAAATGAAAATTGATTTAAGGTGAACGATGGAAAGGAAGTATGCTTACTCATTTCTTGTGCCTATGAGACTAGCAATTTGAGAGGCACAAGCCACAATACTTCTGATGACCCAGTAGGAAGCAATAGGAATGTGAGTACTGGCAACAGACATGGGAGGTGTGTCCTCTGAAATGTAGTCAGATGGAAGCTCCTTGAATTCAACGATGCAGGTGGTTACATCCATTGCAGCCTTCACGAGCCTAATGAGTGCTTCAAAATGGGGTTTCAATGACATGAAATTCTCAGCAATATCTGGCAGTTGCTTAAGAAGGGCCACAGACTTGGCAAGAGTATTTTCAGCACTCAACTGAGCAACAAGCCAAAACTCTCCAAAAATAACAGCAAAGGCTGCTAATGTTAGCACAACTTTCGCATGCCATGCATAGCTAGACATGTAACCCAGTAACACCATTGTTGATGAATGCGCATCTCCACCTCCCGAACACTTGCATGATAGCTGCCAATGTATTCAGGAATTGCTCTTTAATTACATATATCTAGGTGAATTTAGACAGTCAAAGTACAGTGACATGTAGGACAGAACCAGAAAAGAAGTTTAGTCTTAAAACTAACGAATTTTCAACTTTGCATGTTTCTAAGAACTTTCATAAATTTATAATAAAAATATATTTATCCTATTTTATTTATTGTTAGGTTCAAAGCTCTACGAATAAAGAAAAGATAGAGAATGTGATACACATTCTTAGGCAAAGATGAGTATGTATATACATACATATATTTCAAATAATCTGGTTAAGTATCAGTCTAAGTCAATTTCCATAAACAAATTATTAGGAACAAATGTGATTGTGTATGAGAGAGACTTGTAAACATTGGACATATAATTTTGTTTGTTCAAGAGGATGCAAAACTGAGGGGTAAATAAGAAGGTTGATTCATATATCAATTCACTGTCATAAGAATGAAAGAAAAGTATATTCTATGCAAAATGGGAAAAGGAATAACTGTCTTTTTAAGTGCAACACATCATTGGATGGTAGTTTGAGGAAACATGGGAACACACTGTATCCTTGGTAACAGTGTCAGGTAACTTTTATAAAAGTTAAGAAGATTTTCAGATGAAAACAACCTCACACGAAATTTTGTTTATGATGTAAGCCAGCGAGTCAAGCATGTCAAATTCAGCCAGAGCAGCAGTCATCTCCAATGCATCTTGGTCTCTTTTCACCTGTCAAAAAGCCACATATAATAATAATAATAATAATAATAATAATAATAATAATAATGATAATAATAATGATAATAACAAGAACAAATAAATAAAATAAGGAGTTAACTGAACATGTATCACATGCATGCAAAGTGGCAGAACGTAAACATGGTAGCATAAAAGGTAAGTCTTACTTCATAACCCTCAACAGTGCGAGCAATGAACCGAAGGAGAATTTCGTCGACGATTTGTAGAATAGGTTTGACATCAATTTCACGGCCATCTGGGGCATGTGTGGTCTGAACCTGCTTGGTCATGGCACTGTCATCAGAAGTGGAGAACATGCGTCGCTCCTTCCTTTGGGACATTTTTGGAGTAGCTGTTAGCTGGCGACTACTCATGTTGCTGAAATGGTTTCAGATATGAGAAGACACAGTGGGAGGGAAACAGGTTTTGGCTTGAGTATACGTGGTTGTACTAATAACATATATATAGCAACATGAAGAAGAATAAAGCTTTGTTGAACATGTACCTTGCTTGCAAGAGGGTATTAAAAAAGCTAAAGCGATTCATCTGTTCCCTATTCATCAGGATAAGAATAAACCTCATTTAATTATCTGTGGTGGCCCCTGCTCTCTTATTTTTACCTTAAATGCTTTATTTTATTACACTTAGACACACAGCTTGTTTATTTTCTGACATCATTGATGCCATGTCACTAGCCTTACCTCATTAATTTCATTATTAAAAGCCACATTTGAATGGTTTTATCTATTGGAAATAGTATTATGACATGTCATCCAAGTAACTTTTGTAACAGTAATTTTATAGGACTTATTCTCCAAGTAACTTTTGTAACAGTAAGCATTTTTGGACTGAGTAACTTTTATGACACTGTCAGAGATTATTGATGTTGTTGTTTTTGTTTATTATCGCAAAAAAAAAAATATATATATAAATTTACATTTTTATAATTATTTTATTTTTATATTCTATGTTAAATGAATGGAAAAATACGTCATGATTTCATTATTTATTATTGAATGTGTTAAATAAGTTTTTGAGTAGTTTAAGATACGAGACACATTCTAATGCTAATTTAAAATATTATTTAACAAATAAACTAAATTAATGTTTTTGTTAAAAGAAGTATAATTATTTATTTCTAAAGTTTAAAAGTAAAAATATATCAAAATTTAAAATTGAAACGAATTTTAGTTTCGTGGAAATTAAAAACATATATTTCTATTATTTAAAAACCAATTTTGTATAGTTTTTTTCTATTAGAAACAGTGTTAAGTAAAAAGGTATAATTTTGATTAACATTTATGTATATGGATAAATTTTTTTTAAGAAAAAATATAATAAGTTGTGTACTAGAAAAACGGCAAGATGATGTAATATTTTTAAAACACGACTTTAAAGTGAAATTGTGTTTTCACAACAGGACTCATTAGAATAGAAATAATGTATTAAACACACGATATTTACTCTTTTATTTATTTGTTTTTTTAGCAAAAATCTATGAATTAGAAACAACTTCATTCTTCTCGTTTTTTTATTTCGTATATTTTTTATTTCAAACAAGCATGCTCTGCACTTTAATTTTTTAATTAATAAATTATATTTTAAATAATAAAATATTATCATATATTGTAAATATGATTAGAAGATTTTAAATTTTAGTAATCAAAATATTAAAAATATTTCAAAATAGAAAATATTTTCACATTTTTAAAAATAATATTGAGATGTACATTTTTAATAAATACATTTTACATATATAATTTTAGTAATTAAATTATCTCAAAATTCCAAAATAAAAATTATCTTGATATAAAATTAAAGAAAAAAGAATATCAAGTTTTAAAGAGTAAAAGAAATTAAAAATATTATTTTCAACGCATTAATTAAATTATTAAAAAATATATCATTATATAAATATTTAAGAAAACATAACAAATTTTAAAAATTAATTAATCAAATTAATTAAAAAATTAAAGAAATCATACTTTTCAAACCCGATTTTAAACGAATAATGAAGAATCCGAACTTTTAGTTTTTAAAAGTCGTCTTGTCGACACACGATTTCTATTTACTATTTCTTTTATAGAAATCGTGTTTCTTACATACGATTTCTTCTATATTTTTTGCTTCCTCGTGTTTTTTCTTTACATTTTTATGTATTTTATTTCAGTTTTTAGAGGTCGTGATTACCACATAATTTCTCTTTTCACTTTCACATTATTTTTTAAAATTTTATAGTTTTTAGTTTTTTTTTTAAATTTATGCAAATATATTTTTTTATTTTTAAATTGTTTTTTAATAATTTAATCAATCAATTTTTAAAATTTTTTACATGTTATTTAAATTTTTATACAATCATATATTTTTAATAACTTAATCAACGCATTAAAAATAATACTTTTAAATTTTTGTACTCCCTAAATATATATTTTTTTAATATTTCGATGAATGAATTAAAATTAAAATTAAATTTTTTTAATAATATTTTAAAAAATATATGATAATATTTCATTATTTAAATTTTAATTAATTAATTAAAAATAATTAAAATACAGAATATGCTTGTATGAAATAAAAAATCAAATTTTTAATATAAAAAATTTAAAACTTTCATTCTAAGAAATGTGCATTACTTCCTGGGAGAAGAAACATCTTAACTTAACTTAAAGTACTACATGGAAGAGAAGAGTTTTCTTTTGTCCCTATAAAAGTAACTAGATTATTTGGTAAAAGTATTGTAGTGGTAAACTTATTCTCGACTTCAATGTAACGAAGTTGATCTCTGATATCATAATAAGAAATTGAATAATGATACTTTTGATAATATTTTTTGATAACATTTTAATATCATTTATGTGTCATTTTATGATTGGTCTATGTTAGTGTTTATAATTATTATTGTTGATTCTAGAGTAATTTTGGACCAATCACAGAATGACACATAGATGATGTTAAAATATTATCAAAATAATGTTGTCAAAGTATCATTATCTTAAAAAATTTAATAATAATCTCACTTTCATATCTTCAATTGGTTCAACCATTTATCATAAGCTATTCAGCCGAAGAAGTGTGTAGTCATATATGTCTATTTTATTATATATTTAGCAATTTAATTTCTTTTATATATTTGCAAAAAATATTTTGACAATCCCATTTTTTTTAGATTCGCCTCTGAATTTAAACGTTTACTTACTAAGGATTACAATTAGTCAAAGAGAGAGAAGAAGAAGCAAGTTTACAGATTTAGTAAATCATATGTGTCTTAGTTCTTTCTATAAATATTACTAATAAGGAAAAGGAGTTAGATTGATAAAGCAGAAAACAACTTGTCAAACAAACAATGTTCGGATTTTTTCCAACCAAACCAATTACTTCCATTGTCGCTCGTTATTATTTTATTATTATCATTATTATTATTGTACCGTACGATACCTGAGTCCACTAAACGGTCGACAAATAACCCAACCGACCGTCCACTAGACTTTCTTATGTTCGTATCACTTACAGTTTGATGTCGACTACTTGGTGATCGACAATTAGACAATAATGTAGTCGACTAAACGATCGACACATAACTTAACCGACCATTCACTGGGCTTTCTTACGTTAGCATCATTTAGATGTCGACCACTTGGTGATCGACAACTAAACAGTGATGTCGTGATAAAGTGCTCGCACGACAGTTA